CTGGGCTCCTGCCCCCCCGAGACCCCGAGCTGGCCCTCGGTCTCCCTCCTGCCCCTTCAGACCCCCCCGCGCAGCTGGAGCCCTGAGAATGTTATTCTTTTCCACTCGAAGACATTCCGTTCCATGTGTAATTAAATGCGTGGTATTGAATTAATGTTTTTTTCCGAGCATTTCTGGCAGCCGGAGACCCTGGGGTCTGGCTAGTGTAAAAAAAACACACTCTCCTCAGAGGCCCTCCCTCCCTCCCTCTCCCTCTTCCTCCCCGCTCTGCCAGGAACCTCCCTCCTCCTCCTCCGCCCACACAGCCGTCCCCGGGACTCACCTTGCAACGTGAGGGCCCCTGAAGCTGTCCAGACCCCTGTCCTTCTGAGCACTGTCCTCTCTCCTCGCGCTGAGCTCAGGTGGTGGTGACCAAGACGGGGAGTCCCCACTGGAAATGACTGTCTCGCTGCCCTCGTGCAATGGGTGCAGTTCGTCTGCACCGAGTGCTGCTGCCGGTTCAGGAAGCGGCGCCTGTCCCCGGGGCGGGGGGTGGGGGTGCAGGGGCAGGGGCGCTGCCGTGACGGAGGGCAGGGTGATGCCGTCTGCCCGTGCCGGGCTTTAGAGTCCGGCGGACCGTCTCGAACGTCTGGGCGACTTGGGCAAACTACTTTACCACCTTGAACTCCAGTGTCCTCATCTGCAGCACGTGGGATAGTAACACGCTGTGTTGAAGCAACTTGGGATGAACGAGGTGACCCACGGTGAGAGCTTAGCGTGGCGCCCGGCTCAGGGGAGGTGCTCCCTCGACGGCGGTTATTTTGGTTGTCAGTGAGGGTCCCGGGGGGTCACGATAAGGCGAGACAGGCCAGCCCAGAGTGAGACAGAGTTGGTGGGCGTCTGAGAGGTCTCAGCTGCGAGGCCGGGACCCTTTAGGGACGGGTGCTACAGAGGGTCGGGAAGCAGAGGAAGGCAGGGCGGTTAGGAGAGCCCATCGGGGTCCCTGAGAGGGCAACTGGCCGGCTGTCAGGGTGCGGGAGGGCCTGTGTCTGAGCCCCTCGGGCGACAGCCTTCGGGGGGACGAGTTCAGTGTCCCCCTCGGGCAGGTCCTCTCAGGACAACCATCAGTCAGTTCCTCAGTCAGAGCTCCAAGGCCGCCGGTGAGCCTCCGTGAAGACACTCGGGTCGGACCGAGGGGGCGTGCCGGCTCTTGGGGGCTGCCTTTGCTGCCCGACACACTACGGAGTCCGACCCGCCGTTACTGACGATCCCTGGCCCTGGGAAATCTGGGTTTTCTCTGCCGATCAACAGCAGTCTTCAGGGTGGGGCGTCTCTGTCTCTGATGTCTTCACTCCGTCGTCTGGCCACCGTCCTCCCGCGGCCTGTTTTGGGCTCCGAGGCGGGAGGGGGTTAGACGTCGTGGTGGCCGGCTTGGCTGGGCTGTGCGTAACTCCCCCCCCCCCCCGCCCCCCAAGTCAGTGCCGGTGCCCTCGTGCAGCGTCAGGCCGGTTCATCTCCAGGGAACGTCACCTTCCTTCAGCAAGTTTCTTTCCAAACCGCTGTTTCGTTTGCAGGTATACTTAGTTCTTCTTTTTTAAAGGAATTTTTAAAAAGATTTTATTTATTGATTTTTAGAGAGGGAAGGGAGGGAGAAAGAGAGAGAGAGAGAAACATCAATGTACGGTTGCTGGGGGCCATGGTCTGCAACCCAGGCACGTGCCCTGACTGGGAATCGAACCTGCGATGCTTTGGTTCGCAGGGTATATTCAGTTCTTAGTAGACATGGAAATGTTGCAGAAAGGAAGGAAGCCTACTTTTGTTCCATGTCCACTGTGTTTCAGAAATTCCCAGTGATCTCCATGACCTAAAAGTGTTAAATCCGCCCTCTTAACCGCTCTGCAAGCAGATGCCCCTTAGTTTCCGTCCCGCAGCTCGGGGGCCGGAGTCTGACGGCGGCAGGTGCAGGGCCAGGACGCAGACGCAGACCCGTGTCTGTCCCCGGGTCCTCGCCCCTTCAGGACACCGCTCCATGCGGGTGCCATGCCACCCCTTCGTCCCCGAGAGCAGAGAAGTGGGGCTGCCAGCGGCCCCCTGTGTCTCTGGCCACGTCAGTCTGTCCGGCGGGTTGGCCTGCTCAGGGCACAGACGGTGCGGCGGGAAACCACCTCTGCCTCCCGGGGGGTGGGGGGGGACAGGCAGGGCCGGGGGATGGCCACCGCCTGCCTGCTGACCTCTCAGGGCTCCGAGGCCTTCCATCGGAGGCGGCTGGTGGCATCCGGGTTAGTGATGCTGCTTCAGGTCAGGCTTGCTCCAGGCCCGGGAGACCTCCCAGAAGTGAGTCCCACACATACAGTCATCATGTGTCCCTGGGTACTAAGGACAACTTTCAGGGCGGCTCCTTCTGTGTTCGTCTGATGAACCAGTTGTCCAGTAGAGGTGGCGACCATAAAATCTCCCGTGGCTCCCCCGGGGGAACTCAGTTAGTGGCTCTCCTGAAAAAGAGTCCGGGCCAGCCAGGCCAGAATGTGCCAGAAACCCTTTTCATCTCCCCAAGTTGCCTCCCCGGTGTCTCCTGGCCCCCTTCTCCCGCAGCGCCCTGTTGCTGGGGATCGGGGTCTTCCCACGCCTGGGGCTGTGGAGCCCCCGCTCCTCCTCCTCCATTCAGTGTCCCGGCGGTGTCTGAGCCTGGTGACCCCGACTCTGCTGGGCCGGCCCGCCGGGCAGCACGGCTGACCGATGCCTGCCCCTCCTGGGGAGATCCATCGCTTCCCGGCGTGGGGGTCAGGGGGCTGCACCGGAGACGGCTCTGAGCGGCACCGCGTGAGCTGAAAACGCGCACAGAAAGAGGCGCAAACAGGTGCGCGGGCGTCGGAGGTAGAAGTGGCTCACAGCGGTCGTTCCTCAGGGCCTCTCCTCCGACGCTGTTCCCCCACCCACGACCCCCTCCCCAGGGCCTCCAGGAGGCCCGGCCCTGCCCTTTCCCTCGGGGAGACCGTCCTAGGGCCCCGGGGCGAGCAGGTGAGAGACGTTGCGGGGGAGGGGGAGGGGGGACGTGGAGGGTGCGGCCGCTGTGGACCGCACCGTCTCGCTGGCCGCAAGCAGGGGAGACCAAGGACAGGCCGCCGTGTGCAATGGAGAGAACACAGGCTCAGAGCCAGGAGAGGGGGAGAGAGTCCTGCCTGGGCCGAGGTTTGGCTCTGGGGACTTGGGGCCGCTCCCCCGCCTCCATGTTTCCATCTGTGAAAGAGGTACGAGAACGCGTGTCTGCCAGGGGAACCGAACGTGGCGCAAACACCAGGTCTGGGCACAGAGCCGTTCCCTTCAGCAGCCTCCTTCCTGCTTAGGCTCAGGGGAGCGGCCGCCGGCTTCGTGGCCTGGTGTCTGGAATCCTGTTGGCGCCTGCACTTGTCCACGGAGAAGCGGTTTGCCTCGTGTGTCTGCCCCATATCCCGAACAGCACGAGGAGGTGGGAAGGAGGGAACCGATTTTTAATGCCCTTGCTCTGAAGGCTGGGGCAGGGCCCTGCGGTGGGGTGGCAGCCACCGGGAAGCCCCGTGGCCCGCTCCCCCGTGGCCCGCCCCCTCACCCCGTGGCCTGCAAGGAGCTGAGAGCCTGCAGGCTCATCCCCAAAGGCTTTATCTCAGCTCCTCACCAGCCTTTAGGTCACCTGGGACACGGTGGGGACACCAAGACCTCTGGTGGAAAATAAAAATTCTGTGCAGTCTATTCTGAAAGGCATCCCCCAGCCAACCCAATCAGTAACCACAGCCTTGTAGCCACACCCCTCTGCCCCGGTCCCACGTGTCCTGACCCTCAGGGGTCCCGTCCACCACAGCCCTCTGTCCTCAGCTGCCACCTTCGGCAAGGCTGTCTGAGACCGGCCTCTCCCCCACCCGGCCCTGCCCTGCTCTGGCCCACGTTGACGGGCCGACGACGGAATGGGCTCCCGGTCAGCGGAGAGGCCGGCGAGCGACCCCTGGCCCGCCCCTTTCCTCCCTGGCCCCTGCTCCCACAGCTCCTTCCCGGCCCCTTTCCCAGCGGGTGGGAGGCAGGGGTCGCCTCCGTGCCTTCCCCCACAGACCGGCTTCAATGAGGTCACTGCATGAGCCGCGCCGCAGCAGCCTTCTCTGGGCGCAGACCCCGGTTGCGGGGCGGCCTCGTCCTGGACTTGGCTTCCTCCTCACCCCGGGTCTTCCTCCCAGAGGAGAAGGGGTGGCCAGGGAGGGCCTGCCCCCCGGGGAATCTGAGCTCCTTCCCCGTCGCCTTTGTGCCAGTCCGGACTTCGCGTCAGGGTTGTGGCAGCCGCTGTAGCGGGGGCCAGCGTGTGTCCTCGTGTGTGTGCATGCACGCGCACACGCATGTGGCCGTCTTCGATTTCTCCCAGGCACCGGGCCAAACTCTTCACGTGGGTTGTCTCGGTGTCCACACAAGAACCCAGCACCTGAGGGACTGGGGTTAGTCCCGTCTCGTGGGCTCTGGGGTGGAGTAACTAGCTCAAGCCCCACCCCCAAAAGTAGCCAAGAGGCGGAGCCAGGATTCAGACCCGATTCCCGACCGCCCCAGAGGCCTCCCTGTTCCAGGTGCAGTCTGCGGACCAAGGGCACACGGACCTCCCCTGGGGGCCTGTGAGAAGCGCAGACCCTCGGGCCCTGGGCCCGAGTCTGCCTGGAGCCCGGGGCGGCCCCGTGCCCGCTGGCTGTCCAGACCGCCCCACCCTCTCCCCTGCAGCCGGAGCCCATCGCCCCGGGATCCCGCGCACTCCCCAGTGTGGACCGTTCTCCAGCCGTGGCCTGGGGAGCGTAGGCGCCTGACAGCGGCAGAGCTGAGACTCGGTCCCTTTCAAACCACAGCGGGAAGCCGGTTTCCCGGTTTTATGCCCACGTGGGGCGCCGGAGTCTGCCTCTCCTGCCGTGGACTCGGAAGCAGGGTGCCCTGCTCTAGGCCCCTGTGCTCTCCTGCCCGCCGGCCGCTCTCGGGGCGGGACTGACGGGCTGCTCTCTCTCTGTCCCCCCCTCCCGCAGACGTGCAGCACATTAAGAGGCGGGACATCGTGCTGAAGCGAGAGCTGGGAGAGGGAGCCTTTGGCAAGGTCTTCCTGGCCGAGTGCTACAACCTCAGCCCGACCAAGGACAAGATGCTGGTGGCTGTGAAGGTAAGTCGCGGAGGCCGAGGAGCGGCCGGGGCCGAGGGGCAGGAAAGAAGAGTCTCCGTCCTTCTGGTGTAAACTGGCTTCATGGGATGCAATCGGGCCTTTGCTCCAAGGTCAATGACATGTCCTTGGGGCCACAGCCAACTTCCTCTGGCCTCAGAGGTCGAGAGCTGTCACCCAGCACCGAGGGCGCTGTGCCCGAGGTGCAGCCGGAGGGGCGGTCTTGCCTGTGGAAGGCCCTGCTTTGGTCCCGGACCCCCGGGCTGACTCCTCGCCCGGCTCGCCCTCCTGCCCCTCGGTGACCTTGCAGGAAGTGTTGTCCGTGCCTGAAAGCTCACCTGACCGTCGCTGGGGAGGAGAGTCCGGTGAGGCGGGCAGCTCAAGGACAGCCTGGGGGTCGCTGCTCTGGGGTCGCAGACCTCGCGGGGAATGGCGGAGGCGGGGAGGGGTGTCCGGTACTGAGCACAGGGAGATGAGTGAGTGAGTGAAGGTGGCACGAGCTCTTAGCTCCCCGCACTCCCCTGTGGGATCCAGGCCCAGACCCCAAAGGGCACCGTGTCCGAGGGCACCTGCCTGCTGGCAGCGGCTGGACAGGCCCACTGACCGCCGGGCTCCTTCGCTGCTGAGCCCACTGGGCACGTGTGCAGCTGGAGCGGAAGTGCTTGGAGCGCACAGGAGGGACTTTGCCTGCCCACCCCTCCTCCAGCAGTGAGCGGCTTCGCCCGCAAACCAGTGTTGGGCGAGTCTTTGAACGTGGTTGGTGCGAGAGTCAGGTAGCCTCACGGAGGCACCCACGGGCCTCGGGAGCCCTGCTGCGGAGCGTGGGCTGGCCCCCGTGGGAGCACAGAGCCCGATGTTGTGGGCTGGGGGCAGGAGATACGCTCCCTGTGGGGACTCGCCCTCGGACCTCAGGTGGGCCCGTCCTGAGCACCGAGCGCTGTCACCACACCACCCGCACGGTGACGGGATCCTGCTTCTGCACCGTGTGGGTCTCTGTTCACAGCGCCGTGTCCGCTGAGGTGCCACCTCAGTGCAGGCGGGCAGCGCTGTGGGCCACAGGCACGGCGTGGGAACCAGAGGCCCAGCCCCGCCACCGATTTAGCTGCGTGGCCTTCTGCAGGACTTCCAACCTCTCTGGGCCTCAGCTCCCTTGTCTGTGTAATGGGAAGGAAGTAGAGTATCTTCTCCTCAGAATCCCGGTGATTAGATGACATACGTCAGATCCTTAGTACAGTGCCCGGGACACAGGAAAGGCTCAACAAAGAGTCGTTGCTGTGTGTTTATGTGTTTATATTTGATACATTCCGTGTTGGTAGTGTTCAGAGTGCTTGGACGTGGCGCGTGACTGCCAGGCTCACACGGACCACCTAGCACCGAGGCTGCCGGACTCTCTCTCTAAAAAGCCGGACAGTAAATGCCTGCTCAGCTCCGCCCCCGTAGTGGGAAAGTGGCCCACATAAGCCGATGGCAATGGCTGCTTTCCAATGATTTTTGTTTGTTTTAACAAAAATAGGCATTGTCTGCCAGCCTTGGCTCCAGAAACACACAGGGAACCGGAGTATTACCCCGTGAGAAAGGGTAATGACGGTCATTGCTGGACGCCCTGAGAGTAAGCCTGCCCTGTGGACAGAGCAGGCACAGGCCAGGGTGGCCGGGCGCCCGAGGTGTCTGCACGTGGCTGGCACCAGGCGCGTGGGAAAGTGTCTGCTCCTGGCCCTGGACCTAGACTCTGCACGGCCCCGAATCCCGATTTGCAGGAGGACACCGACCCGCCGGGCATGCCGGCGCCCGTCTGGGAACGGGCGAGTGAACTGCACATTCTCGCGCTCGGAGCAGGAAATGAGACGATGGTCGGAAACCCTGGGAAGGGTTTCCCGCTGAGCGGTCCAGCGCCGAGGGCCAGTACCCAGATAGGGTAATGCAGACAATGCGTTTCTGTTCTCATCCTTTTACAAGGGTCTCCCTCTCCCTGGGTCCTGGGAAACTCGGGGAGATGGGTGCTCTGGGGTTTCGCGCCCTCGGCTGCCTGGTGGCCCGCCCGGCTGGCAGCCGCCGGGAGAGACACTCACCTCCCCTGGAGGACCAGATGGGAAGCTCAGCCCCTGCCTCCGCGTCCCCTGCGGGGTTCACTCCCCTCTCGGGCTTCTGCCGCACAAGTGTGCTGCTGGCGTGTCAGGGCAGGGTAGCTGTGGGCTCTCGGGAGATGCCCCAAAGTGCACCCTCAAATCAGGTCTCCCCCAAATTGTTCCTTTAAATCAACGGGCAAGCAGGAGTATCTCCCTCTGCAGTGGCTACGGTGGGAGCATGTAGCCGAGGTTGCAGCCTCCGTTCCGAAGCTGCCTGTGTCCCGCTGGGGGGACGAGAGAAGACCCGGGAGAGCACCGGGGGGCGTAGGCGAGGCAGAGCGTGGACCGGCGTGAGCCCTGTGAGAGTGCCGTCGGCTGGCGTGGCCCATGGGGTTTGTCGTGGGTGATGCCGCTTGCAAATCGTCACTTGACAAGCAGTATGCTTGCGTGGAAGGTCTCCGCAGAGCCTCCTCTGAGAGCCAAACCGCTGATGAGAAGACGAGAAAGGTTTCCGGCCTAATTAACTACCAAAAAAGTGGCAGCTGAACCACACGAGATACCCCTGGACCCCAAGCCGAACGGCTGAATGGCAGCGACAGTACCAAGGGCCTGGAGCCACTACAGCTTCCACTCTGCTGGCGGGAACGGGAAGTGGGGGGACTGGTTTTGAAGGACAGCTGGGTGTTCTGGGACCCCGGCACTCCAGAACCCAGGGCTCCCACTTCTGGGCCTGCACCCAGTGGGCATCCACCTGTCTGTCCGTCTCTCCAGCCAGCTGGCCGGCCATTATCTATCGAGAGATTTGTCCAAGAATCTCCAGACGGCATCGTTAATGTCAGCCAAAGTCTGGAAGCAGCCTCAGCGTTCGTCAGAAGCGCAGTGTGTCCGTGCAGTGGGGAATGACGAGGACAGTGGGTGGGCCGTGGCCGTGCCCACCAGCGCGGGAAAGTCACAAAAGCACCACGTGGAGTGAGAAAAGACAGATACGGACATGTGTGTGATGCTATGTATATGTGATTCCATTACTTAAAGTTAGAAAAAAGTAAAAACTAAACTCCAGTGTGTAGGGATTTATACGCAGGTAGTGCCGACTAGTTCTAAAAAGCAAGGGTGTGAACTCCGTCAGTCAGGACAGGGGTGTGACCTTTGGGGTGAGGGCAGGTGTCCTGGGGGAGGGGCAGGGCGTGCAGTGGGGGCTCGGCAACATTTTATTTCTACGTGCACTGAGGATGCACTGGTGTTAGCATTGCGTTACATGGGTGTGCTAGAAGAGGTTCTTCTGAGGATTGACCGACCATATTCTTCAAAATGTGCTGAACTTGTTCGTTCCTTCAGTACTTCTTGAGCACCTACTATGTGCCAGGCGCTGTACAAGGCCCTGGGGACAGAGGCGTGAAGGACACACGTGTGTCTGAGTAGCTCACGTCTCGGAGCCGAAGGGTCATTGGAACCCAGAAGGGACATTTGGAGAGGAAGAGGCAACGAGGATGGAGGTGACGATGACAACGATGACAACGGAATCTAAGAGAGAACACTCAGTGGGGTGCTCAAAATGGCCCAGGATGGCCTCACAGACGGGGGGCGGGCGGGGGGCCCTCGTCACTGCCACTGCTGTGTGTCCCCCTCCCCCCGCCGCCCCAGGCTCCGCTCCCCGCTCCCTGGGGGCCTCGGCACTCTTCCCACCCGTGAGCCCCTCCTGCGGTTTCATCCAGCGCGGGGTCTGCCTCCTCTGTGGAACTTCCTGTTTTTACCTCGGTGACTGTAATTTACTTCCGAGATAATTCATTGGGTCTTTTAATTTTATGGTTATCTTCATTCTATTTCTCCCTGTTCTTGCTGAATACCTTTCTGGTTTTTTAAGTAATCATTTCTTTAGTCTCTGAGCATTTGTTTATCTTCAACATCTTTATCAACCTACTCTTAAAAAAAAATTAACTTTAGCTGCAGGAACTTTCACGTTCTGGTTACTAATCATGGTAGTTATTCAGATTTAGCGTAGTGTTTCTTCCCGTGCACCCGGACCTGGGCTTTCGGGTTCCTTTGGGCTCAGAGAGTCGTTCTGTCTTCAGTCTGGGCGTCCGTGATTCCGGGCTGCAGTCCCTCTAGTTCGAGCAGGGGCTTCAAGCATGCGTGAAATAGCCTGAGTGCGGGATGTCGTGTTCTCGCTGTCTCCTCACTTTCAAGGATAGGTTTTCTCCCGTTCTCAGTCCTCTTCAGCCACGGGCCTGTCTCAGGTCTCCCCAGAGTACTCGATCTGGGTTCCACAACAGCAGCCCGCTCTTTGCGGTCATAGTTCTCGGGTTTTCACGACACCGCATCACAGTCCGCAGTGACGGCAACCGAGGGGACGGTCACCGGTGAACGTGGGCCCACCCGCGCGGACTCTCCGTGAGCTCCTCCCGGGGCCGGGGGCCTCCCCGGCGTCCAGGGCCTGCCGGGCACCGGCCGGCGTGTCCTCGGAGGCGGTCGGCGCTTGACCCGGCTGGCCAAGTGGGTGTGCCTCGGCCGGGAGCTTTTCTGGCGGAAATCTCTCCCCCCAACTTAGAGAAAAAAAGAAGAGAAGAGAGGAACAAAGGCAGCAGACCCCCGAGGCTGGGGGAGGTGAAGATGCTCAGTGACCCCGAGGGGGGCGAGCTGCTGAGAAGTCTGGGCGTCCCTGGCGTCTGGACAGCCTCCCTCCCCGCTCCGGCCAGCAGCCCCTCGAGGCCTAGGACACAGGGTAACGGGGAGCTGCTGCACAGAGGGGAGACCACCAGAACGGGCAGAGTCCTCGGACTCTGGGGGGGCGGGGAGCCGACAGGGGGCAGATCGCAGCTGCCCCGTTGGTTCTGCGGACCCTGCTGAGGGGCGTCGGAGACCCCTCAGAGTGACCCGTCTCCCTGGGCCTTCTGTGCCCGCAGCTGGTGGTTTATTGTGACGCTTCCCTCGGAAGAGCGCCCCTTGGAGGGCGGCGAGGGTGGGTCGGGGCTGCGGGTCCTCCTCACTCTTCTCCCAGCCACCTCTGTCCCAGTTGTGCTGGTAACTGGAGGGAGGGGCGGGGCCGCTGGCAGCCCACCTGCCCCACACCACCTTCTGCCAGGTGCCTCGGCGCCTCAGGCCTGAGCCGGGAGTGCGGGCGGGGACCGGCTGTGGGAGACCGTGGGCCTGTCTGCTGGGTGCCTCCCGGCAGAGGGGGCCGGCCTCAGGGACGCCGGCGGGCACCGTAGGAGGGCTGGGAACGGAGATATCCGGTGGCTACGTCTGGCGTCCAGGACCCTGCGAGAGAGAGTGATTTACAGAGATGGAGAGAGGCCATTTGGCCAGCCCCAAACTTGATCTGCTTTTCCCTCCCATAAATCCAGCGTTCACATAAATCTCTGTGTTCCCCCATCCCACCCATGCTGGGTTCCTTCCCCTCCAGATCTCTGTGAAAATAAATAAATCACTGGCGGTCGTCCGACACCCAGACACCCAGGCCCCAGCACATGCAGTTCAGGGCTGCTGCCAGCAGCCGGGGCACCAAGAGGCGCCCTCTGCCTCTGGGCAGATGCCCTTGCTCTGGTTGTCGGGGGGACGTGTGCAGCGGCCTGTCCCTTCCGGGTGGGGCGGCGTCCCTGAGAGGGCAGCCGGGCCCTCAGGAGACCATGGAGGGCCAGGGTAGGCAGAGCGAGCAGGGGCTGCCAGACGTCCGGCTCGCCTCCGACCTGGCCGGCCCTGCAGCCTGGCATCCTCGCTGGGCTGGCCCGCACCACTCGCCTCCCCGGACTCTGCTCCGTCCCTTCTGCTCCCGTCTGTGTTCCCCGTCCCCCCCACCCCCCGGGGACCCTCCCGGGGACGGCTGCACCCGACACACTGTTAACTCAGGCAGGTGTGCGGGGACAGACCGGAGCCACCACGTGTCCGTCCTGGACCTCAGTGCTCTCGCCTGTGAAACGGGAAAGGCGCACTTAGGTCGCTTCCAACGTTTTTTGTCGGGAGCGGAGCCATTTAATCAAACACGTTTTCTGGTGAAAGTTCCAGAGTTTGAAGAGCACGCAAGGTGGCGCTGGTTGGATTTGGAGTGGGGCTTTGTATCTGGTGGAGAGACCACGGACCTTCAGCTGAGGTCCTCCCTGGGAGCACTGCCCTTGACCTGCGGACCAGAGACGAGGTGCCGCTGACGATGTAGCACGGAAGTTGATATCCAGACCAGCCCGGGCCTCCCCCCGACCCCCCCGGGCCCTTTTCAAGCCGGGAACCCACTGTCTCTGTGTGCTAATGACGACCCGTGGGGCCGACGGCCCCTCGCCTGGCACAGCTTCTGCACGTTCACCTTCCTGCTGTGTGTGGCCCAGGCATCCCCGAGGGCTGCAGCCGCTGGGGGTAGCGGCGGCCGGAGAGAGGTCTCTGGCCGGGAGGCCCTTCCGCAACAGCAGGTTCTGCAGGGAGGCCAGTCGGCCTAAAGCACCAGAGGAGGAGCGGTGCGTGGCAGACAGCACGTGAGCCGACACACGTGTCCAGGTTCTCACTAACCCCGAAAATGGTGCGAGAGCTGCACACTCACTGCCTCGCCGCCTCCTGCCCTGTCTGCTGAGGTCGCCACTCTGCGTCCTTTGAGGCAGATGTTAAGAGGGTGGGGAGGCTGGAGAAAGGTGTGAGCTCACCTGCCCAGGCTGCTCCTCCTGCAGAAGGGTCCCCCCTCCCTCCCCCCACCCCAGCCCTCACCATCGCTGCATCCCATGGGCGCCTCATGCCGGGGTCCCTGGGATGTGTCCACATGCTTCTGCTTTGGTCCCCTCATCCCCTTTGGTGCTGGAAAATCCGCATTTATACCCAACCCCTCCTCCATTTATCTGCCAGGGCCCTGGGGCGAGCGGCCTGGTCTGCTGCTCCCTCCTTACACAGGGTCTTCCACTCCCACGGGGGCTGGGTCCCGATATTTCAGAGGCCACCAGGCGCCCACTTGCCATCCCACCCTGGGGCTCTGCCACCCTTTACCTGGTCCTGAGGACCCTGAGTCTGCAGCCCAAACATGGATGTTTCCCTGCAGATACCCCTCCTTCACCTAGCGTCAAGGGGTGGAGCGGGCCCGGAGACTTGGTTCCGCTGCCCGCCTGCTTCCTCGTGGACTCTGGGCCCAGGGGGATTTGGGAAGTGACGGCAGTGGGGGCGGGCTTTCCCATTGATCAGTTTAGCCGTGGGAACCAGGAGCCCAGGAAGCCTTGGGGGGAGGGGCCTGTGTGAGGCCTCCCACCTCGCGCCCCTCCCTCTGCCGTTCACACCGACCCCCGAGGAAGCCCAGGGCGCCGAGGGGAACAGAACTGAAGTTACTGCCTGGTGTCGGGCCGTGGGGGTCAGAGGGCTGGTTTCTGCTTGTGCTGAAGGAGGGGTCAGGCCCGGCTGCTGTGACTTAGCCTCGCGGTCTGTAGACCTTGATTACAATCTCATCCGTGGGGAGCCAGCGGGTCTTTATTGCTGGGCACCAGGTCTCGTCCCTGGTGGGGTGGGGGGGACCCGTCCTGTGGCGGCTGAGAACCCTTGTCCCGCCTCGCCTCCAGGCCCTGAAGGACCCCACCCTGGCCGCCCGGAAGGACTTCCAGAGGGAGGCCGAGCTGCTCACCAACCTGCAGCACGAGCACATCGTCAAGTTCTACGGCGTGTGCGGCGACGGGGACCCCCTCATCATGGTCTTCGAGTACATGAAGCACGGGGACCTGAACAAGTTCCTCAGGTAAGGGGCGGCGGCTGCGCCCGCCCTGGTGCCCTGACGCAGCCCCCCCCCCCCCGATCCACGGGGTTCCCTTTGGAGCCAGGAGCCACATTCGTTTCTTTGCACACTTAGGTCAAAGGTTAGACTTGAGAAGCAGCCTTTTCCCACCGTCCACTGAGCAGCCGGATTCAGGCCTTCCTCCCCGATCTCCAGGGAGGAATCGTCGAGGGCGCTGGGACAAGTCACCTGTGCTCTTCCTCCTGGTTCCCGGCCGACCGAGGAGGGGAGCGGGGGGGAGGGGTCTGGGACGGGCTCAGGGTGGGCCTGCCGGCCTGCGACCCCCACGTCCAGGGACCCAGGGCCACCCTTGCCCCCAGGCGAAGCGAACAGCCTTCCCACTCGGTGCCTGCGCTGCTCAGGGCTGCGGGGTCGGGCTGAGCCTCACTCCCCCCCAGCCCTCGGGAGGCTTCTCGCCAGAGGCGTTTGACGAGGAAGAGGCAGCGGACAGACTCGTCAGGAGACGGCACTGGTTGGACAAGGGACAGGTTTCCCTGTGACCAACGTAGAGCTGTGCTGTCTCGTGTAGTAGCCACGTGGCCGTTTGAATTTAAATTTACGTTTCTTAAATAACATTGAAACATTCACTTCCTCTGTCTCACTAGCCACATTCTGCATACTCAGTCGCCACAAGTGGCTACCGTATCGGGCCAGCGCAGTACAAAACATTCCCATCGGTAAAAGCTCTGTTGGATGGTGCTTTTCTGGAAAGACTGGGTTGGTTGCGAGAAGGATTTTCCCAGTCTGGGAGCCAGATTGTCTGGGTGTTGAGAGAGGCTCTTTTTTTTTTTTTTTAAGATTTTATTTATTTATTTTTAGAGAGGGAAGGGATGGAGAAAGAGAGAGAGAGAGGCTCTCGATGGGACTGGTAAGGGACTGGGGCCCTGCCCAGGCGTTCCCCGAGCAGACAGCGTCTCGGTGAGCGCAGAGTTGGGGTTAGCGCCCCCTGCTCCCCACATCCACCGCCTCCGCGCATGCCCGACGGAGGGGCAGCCGTGCAGGAGAGGGCCTGTGGGGTTCAGGTCCCGGAGGCAGGGTGGACACTCAGGCCCTGGACACTCGGCCGCCTTTCCCACCCTTTTGAATTCCACGGCGGAGAATGAGGTTTCCAGAGTTCACATGTAGGTTGGGGAAGACTCTAGCTCGTTCGCCAAAAGCCGGCGAGCATCTGCTCGAAGTGGGGCATTCAGTGGACTCCGTGATTTTGAGAAGGGACCGGGCAGGGCGGGGAGCCGGCCGCGAGCTCCCCTGGTGAGGCCGGTTTCCAGAACGGGGCCCCGGAGGAACCCGAAGTGCCCGCGCGGTAGTCTGAACCCCTGAGCTGCGTCTCACCGTGAAGTTTAGTCCGTTCCTGGAGCGCTCAGTCCTTACCAAAAGGACAGACTTGGGTTCACACCCCGAATTTGCCCCATCTTAGTGATGACAACAGCCTGGAGCAAGTTATCGAACCTGGGTTCCCTCCCTGGCAAACCGGGGCCGGTAAGAACCGCTTCCCAGGTCTGCTGTTGCGACGGTTAAACGACCCCGCCCTGTCACTCCTAGAGGAGTGTCCACGAGCCAGGTCTCAGTCGGGGTGGGGGGCGGGGGGCGGGGGCCGCTACCGCTACGGTGGCTGCAGTGCGCGTTTCCTCAGAGCCGGGGCCCGTGCTGGTCCCCTTAGACCCCCAGACAGGAAACTGACAACAGCCAACACAGACAGCAAGGGCTGTCTGATGTGAATGGATCACAGTCACACCTACTTTTTGTCGGATCGGCCAGAAATACATCTTCCCGTGTGCCGAGGAATTGCAGCAATTAGTTTATGCGCCGTGGGATGAACGAGACGGAAGGTCCCGGCCCGAGAGCCCGTCCGCGGTCGTCTCCGTTGCGGGTCTGGGCGCAGCGTTTCTGCCTCACCCGCACGCACGTCCCGTGCCCGGGGGTGGACAGAGACAGGCCCGAGGCCGGCTGGGCAGGGGGGCTGCATGCACTCCCGCGGCGCAGTCCCGACCAGTGGGAACCGAGGCCTCTCCCCTCGGTCTCCTGAGCTCTCTCCGCTCCCTCTCTCTACCCCCGGCTCTCTCCCACAGGGCCCACGGGCCGGACGCCATGATCCTCGTGGACGGGCAGCCGCGCCAGGCGAAGGGCGAGCTGGGGCTCTCCCAGATGCTGCACATCGCCAGTCAGATCGCCTCGGGCATGGTCTACCTGGCCTCCCAGCACTTCGTGCACCGCGACCTGGCCACCAGGAACTGCCTGGTCGGGGCCAACCTGCTGGTGAAGATCGGGGACTTCGGCATGTCCAGGGACGTCTACAGCACGGACTACTACAGGGTGAGGCGGCTCTTCTGGCTGCGGGGCTCCCTGGCAGAGCTAGCACCTTGCTCACTTGTCTTGTCGTTGTCCATTAACCCTGTTGCTCCGGAACACACACACACATGCACACACACACGCACACACAGCTGTGCCCACCCAGACACTCGGTGACTGTCCTTTGGCCACTCCTGCACCTCAGCATCTTGTTCATTATTCTCTCTCTGGCTCACTGCTCCCTCCCTCTCGGGTGCGTGACTCAGCTGCACCCTTACATCGCAGTGGTATACTAGTGGTGTCCTCACTCGCATCTCTAACAGATACTCCTCCTTCGTGAAATAAAATACACATCTACCTCTAAACGCACGCACAGACAAACCCAACTTGGTGCTACATTTGAGTGCCCTCCAACTCCATCCCTGATCCAGCCTCACCCACCACACACTGGATTCTCTGAACTTATCTGCTGACCATCTAGGCTTGTTTTCAGGGGTAACTTTGGTGAGAAGCCAGCACGCAGAGTCAGGTAGCAGAAGTGACTCACGCGTTGCTGAGCATAGTTAGCAGATGGCTCGGGGAGACGGGGGAGACAGCAGGTCGTCGTCGCCCGCGGTGGAGAGGGGTGCAGGCTGGAAAAGCCCCCTGGCTGTGAGAGGAGCCACGCTCCGTCTCACGGCACGTGGCCATCAGTCCACAGGGACAGGTGTCTTATTCTGCTCCCAGGACTCCTGTCCCTTAGTCCTCGGGACTTACTTTCCTGCAGATTGTCGCGTGGTTCCGACAGTGTTGCTGTGGCCGGGGGAAGAGTGCATGCGATCCAACTCGTGAAGGGTGTGAGGGGGGCGGGGTGTAGGCACAGCACGAGACACGGGGGTGGAGTAACTCCTGCAAACGGATCAGAAGGCCCACGCCTCAAAAGTGCAGAAAATTTACTTCGGGGACGTTGAAGGGACACGGGCTTGGGATGTGCGGGGCCCTGTTCTGGAGGCACACGGCCGTGTGTCTCATCTTATCTGCAGGGAACGAGTGAGCGCATTGTGAGGCAGAGCCCACAGCTGCCCTTCCGGCCCACATGGTGCGCCAGGAGGCTGGGGGTTTGGGGCTGGCAGCTGCAGCATCGTCCTGTCTGGACGTTCCTCCCGATGGCTCTGTGTGAACAGGACATTAGAACTGGTCACTCAGGACACGTCGTTTTAGCCATGGCCTAAACAAAAATGGAACGGCTGAGAAATGCCCGCTGTGGCTACAGAGTTGTTCGTCCGAGGTACAAAGGATGGCAGACGATGCGGCCTCGGGAGAGGCCGTGGAGCAGAGGACACCAGGAGAGGGGAGGTTGTGTGTCCATCGCACCTGCCCTGTCCGGCGCCCCCGGGGACGGGAAAAGGAGCGCCGACCAGCAGTCACCGCAGGCTGAGGGCCAGGGCGGGCCTGCTGGGGAGTGGTCCAGCAGAGCCTTTCGTCAGCATTACACCACTTTTCCCAGTCACTTTGAAGAGAGGCATTGGTGTGGTTCCTAAGGGCCCACGGGCCCTAGATTTCTCGAGTCTGGCTGGAGCTGGCCCCATTTAACTGCCTGTGCACTCTGTGTGCTGGCGTCCGCTGGCCTGTGTGGCCGAGCACAGACTGGTGTTGGCGCTGAAAAAGCGGGGAACGGGTCACTGTTTGCCTGCGAGAGGAACGTGTTTGGTTTTGCCAGTCTGGTCCCCGCTCGCTTCACCGGGGCCTTGGGGAACCGCGTCCAATCGGAGTGCGCGCACACTCGGCCTTCCGACCTGCCTCACGAGTGCAGTTAATCCTTCTCGGTGCCGACTTCAAAGAGGGAAAAAAAGTCACGTCTTCAAACGACACGTCTGTGCGCTTGCTCTAGCGACTGCGCACCGTCGCCCGTTGCTCCGGGGACAGCTCCACGGAGCGGGATGGTCTCGGTCCGCGGGCCCTGGGGCAGCCTGGGAGTTAAGGAAGGGGGCCGAGGGGGAGCCGTCCCCAGCTCCTTTCCCGCGCCTCCCCAGCCAGGTGCACGCGGGGCCAGCCGGCTTGAAGATGTGTCTGTGGTCCCAAGGAGGCATGAAATAAAAACGGGTAGCTGTTGCGGTGGGGACACAGTGCGCCCAGCAAAGATCACATCCCACCGATGGTGGGCAGACTTTGCGGTGTCCGTACCCGAAGAGAGCATTCGTGGTCAGTTGCTCACCAGGCACTGCGCCTGCGCGGCCCCGCCCCCCGCGCGGCCCCGCCCTCCCGGTCAGCGCTGCAGAAGGCCTCCGTGGTCCCCTGGAGGCTGCATCGGGAGTGAGCCTGAACCTGTGATCACCCGGATTGGGAGGCGTCAGGGTGATGAGGGAATTCTGTATTTGCCCTGGTTTTACCCGTTTACCCCCCAGCACCGTCATTAGCAGCCATGGGACCTCAGCGCATTTCCCGAACCCCGACTTCATGTTCCCATTTTAAAAATGAGGACACACAGCCTCTCAACAGTCCTTTTGATGGTAAACAGGTTAATTTCCGTTAAAAGCAGGGAACACACTGCTTCTTGCATAAGTTATGGTTTGTCTTCCTGAGCTCCCGTCACGCCGAAGGCAGGAGAGCCCCAGGGGTAATCTCCCTAGAGGCAGTGTGTGAGTCCGAGACGACGCTCCTGACCGCTGGGAAATACACGGGGACCACACAGTGGGGTCTTCAGGGTGACCACCTCTGGAAAATCCCCTCCCCAAGGTTTCAGCCTAGACAGAAATACGGCTGTCAGTACCTGCCTGTGCTTCTGGTCAGGGTTTACAGGGTCCCGCTGATGAATCTTAGCACGAAGTCCGGCGATTTAGGGAAGATTTTTGCAGCCCCCCGCGCTGATGCAGCTCCAGGGGACAGCAGGGATTGCTCGGGCGGCCGGAACAACACGGAAGGACTCTGCCAGCTGACCCCGCACAGGCCTGCCCCCTCTGCCTCTGCAGGGCCTAGGAGCTGGCTGGCGCCTGGTGCCCGGTGCACCTCGGTGCGGGTAATACAGGCGTGTGTGTTCGCGCCTGCACTCACTCCCCTGCCAGCGAGGATTCCGGAGTGTGCACGGGGGTGGGGGCAGGGGAGAGGTGGAGATGAACAACTCCTCGTGCTCTTCCTTCTTCATTTTTAATTTCTTAAGACAAACAGACACCATCTGGCTCGTGCATGAGCAGTGTGCAAACGACTCCCAGAGGTGAGCAGCCTGGCTTTCTGGTACATGTTTAGAGGGAGAAAACCAATGTCTCCGCACCAGAGCCGTGTGTCCCCTCCTCCTAGGACTGACCGCAGCGACAGGCGCCTCCTCCCGCCACAGACGGGGAGGCGGTGCTCTGGGCTCGCCGCACACCAGCTTCGGCGAGGGCGGTTGGCGCCGCCACACGTCTCTGAGAACACCAGGCCGCACTCAGGGGTCGGAGTGCAGATCTGGAATTAGAGAAAGCATCTGAAGAGGAGAGGCTGGGATTCCAGAAGAGAAACGTCTTCAGAGGTGTTGATTTGGAGGGAGGCAGCGTGCTGAGACCCAGGAGGAATGGGGTGAGGGCTCAGTGCTCCAACCCTGCTTGTCCCGGGGGCTGGGACGGTGCCTCTCAGGTGGCCCTCGAGTCCTCTGCACCGAGCCCCGGGCTGAGGCCTGGTTGGCACCCAGTGAAAATACGAATGCATGACTGAGTGAAGGCGGAATGGGAGCCTGGAGTGAGGCAGCAAGCAGGTGGGCCAGACCCCGGGCGGCCCACACAGGCAAACAGAGGCGTCCTCTGGGGAGGTGATGTGGGGGCCCCATGGTCTCAGCAGCAGCGTCTGGGGCGGTATCTGGAGGAGGCAGGAGACTGGCGGTCTGAGTTGGGGGGGACTCGCGGGGAGGAGAGCCAGGTGTCCTCGGTGGGGGTGGGGGGGAGGATGCCGAAATCCAGGCAGATGTGGGAGTGGGGGTGTAAGGCAGGTCTGGGGGCCGACAGCGAGGCCCTGAGCTGGAGCTTCTAGGTCACGGTTCCTGGGAACTCCTGGAAAAGGGGGACAGCAGCGACCTTTAGGGTATGGGAACAATTTAGAACGCGCTGGTCTGGCTGGGAGAACGTTCGATTTTGTGGATGTCAGGGTTTCTTCCCGGCAGCGATGGGAAGGGCAGGCTCTTGAACCCACCCTGCCCGGGCTCGAACCTCAGCCCCCGTGATTCCTGGCTGCACGGCCTTGGGCACATCATTTAACCTGTCTGTATCCCCGACTGGAAGATGGGCCGACAGCCTCTGGCACGTGCATGCACTGTGAGGGTTAAGCGGTAATCAATACGAAGTTTCTAGGATGACAATTGCTCAGGAAATCCCAATTGCTGTTGCTGTTATTGGAGCTAAAATGCAGTCGTCCTCCCTGGTTTCAAAACGGGGAGCGACGCTTACATAAGCGTATCAGCGGAGGTAGGCCAACCGCCATGGCACGTGTGTGCAAAACCACAGAGTGGTCCGCCACAAGTAGAAACCCGCTTTTAGGTCGTGTGGCGGTGGGAGCCGCTGACCCTCCGCCGCGCGGTCATCGGGCCGGTGGAGCTCCGGCCTCTTTCTTGTGTGGTGCCCCGGCCTCGCCCTAGGTGTCCAGCCCCACTGCGGCCAGCCGGACGGGGAGACAGGCGTGTGGTTAACAGCCTGTCTCATGGCAAGGACCAGGTCGCGCACCTGGTCTCGTGGGCTGCAGGGCAGGCTGAGAAGTGGAGTGTGGCCGTGTCCCCGTGGCATCAGTCGGAGTGAACAGCGGGCATACTCTGCCGTGGGGCGCGTGAAGAAAACCTCCCTACGCCCTCTCCTTCCAACCGCATGCCGCCCCGGGGCTGATGCCGTATCAGGGAAGCAGGGACTCTCACTTTCTCTGAGGGAGCTTCGACGAGGCCAGAGGAAGGCCGAGAATCTCCTTAGACTCCCAGTCCCTGAGCCACGTTTGCCTGTCGTCTTCAGTTTGGGAGAGGGGGGCCTGGCACCGCCCGGAGACGCGGCTGTGAAGTGGACGCCCAGGCAGGATGTGGGCCCTGGCACCACCTG